CTGGTGAAAATCAGGATTATGTGTGATTTCAATGCAATTTGTAGCAGTTTCAGATTGGAATATTTTGTTTACACTGTAGAAGTTTCAGCTTGCTGTTTGCTCTAGATTAAAAGTTATGATTTTTTTCAACTACAAAATGCAATTCTGTCAAAGCATTCATTTTTAGGCCAACATTCACCAAGTTGGAAAATCTGGTTTATGTGTCATTTGAATTAAATTTTCATCATGTTTTGACTCAAGTCTCTTCTATCGATTGTAAACGTTTCTAGCTACTGTTTACTCTAGATTAGAAGTTATAATTTTTTGCAGCCAGAAGATGTATTTTTGTCAAAACGTTGATTTTTGGGCGAACATTTATGAAGTTGGTAAAAATTAGCATTTTGTGCCGTTTTAATGAAATTCTCGACGTCTTTAGACTTGAGTGTATTCAATTCGTAGCAAAAGTTTCAAGTAGTTGCCTGCACCCGATTAGGAGTTATGATTTTTTCAGCGAGAAAATGCAATTATGTGAAAACGGTCATTTTTAGGTCAATATTTACCAAGCGGTCACAAATCAGGATTAAATGTGATTTTAATGAAAATTTTATCATGTTTAGACTCAAGTGTCTTCTACCGATTGTAAAAGTTTCTAGTCGCTGTTTGCTCTAGATTAAAGGACATGATTTTCTTCAGGCAGAAGATGGATTTTTGTCGAAACGTTGATTTTTGGGCGAACATTTATGAAGTTGGAAAACATCAGCATTTTGTGCCATTTCAATGAAATTTTCCACATTTTATATTTGAGTGTCTTCTATACGTAGCAAAAGTTTCAAGTAGTTGCCTGCACCCGATTAGGAGTTATGATTTTTTCAGCGAGAAAATGCAATTATATCAAAACGCTCAATTTTAGGTCAATATTTACCAAGTGGGCAAAAATCAGGATTAGATGTGATTTGGATGAAAATTTCATAATGTTTTGACTTACGTGTCTTCTACCGATTGTAAAAGTTTCTAGTCGCTGTTTGCTCTAGATTAGAGGACATTATTTTTTTCAAGCAGAAGATGTATTTTGTCAAAACGTTGATTTTTGGGCGAACATTTATGAAGTAGGCAAAAATCAGCATTTTGTGCCATTTTAATAAAATTTTCCACGTTTTTAGACTTGAGTGTCTTCAAGTCGTAGCAAAAGTTTCAAGTAGTTGCCTGCACCAGAACAGAAGTTCTGATTTTTTCCTGCGAGAAAATGCAATTAAACGCTCATTTTTGGATCAATATTTACCGACAGACTTTAAAAAAACCGACTTTTGTTGCTTAAGTGTCAAGTTCCTCTTTTTCTAGATTAGAAGTTATGATTTGAGCCATAAAATACATGCGAACCAAAGCGCTTTAAAAAAAAAGGTAAACGAAGAAACTGGTGAGATTTTCGGGCTACCAGGCAAAACGTTTCGCACCCACGAGTGGTTTACAACTTCAGAGGTGGTTTGCTCGACGCAGCCAATGTTTATTTGGCACATTTGAATCCCCCTGCACGTACATGAATAACGATCGGCAATTTCGCACCTATGCCAGAGCCTGGAAGGCTAAATTTAGCCATCCGAATGCTGGCAGGGAAGCCCTATCAGCCACTCGAAATCACTTAAACGCGCATTACACGATTTATTAATCGTTATTTGCATCTGTTAAGCCGCGCATCAAACAGGCTCCAGTTCGAACCGACACCAGACCCTCCTAATAGGGTAATTAACCCAAAAAAACCTCAAATTCCCTCGATTATTTACGATCAGACTGCCAAACATTTCAACTTCTCTGCTGATTCCAGTCGCTGGCTAAGTGCTCTTTTGTTAGCCAACGCTGTTCAATCACCGAAAAATTTCTCAAATAACCCAGCATTCTGAGTTGGACACAGAATATAATGGCTAGAGTTTTCTCTTGAAAGTGCGAAAGTTTTCCCTAATTTGATGGGGTTTTGATCAAAATCATTTGGTTTTGACGCTTAAAATGCAACTGGAGTTTGTAAAAACTCTTCACTGTGCGGAAAAAGTTCGGGGTTTTTATGCAATCTTCAATCTCCTGTTCTAGACACAGACGTGCTCATGATCACCCACGCTGCGCCGCTGTTCTTCACTGAAAGAATTGTTGATAAATATCGATTTGCATGAATGAATCAGTGAATAAATGAGTGAATGAAACAAATGCCCTCGTTTACATATTATCAATTATAAGTTCGATAGCTGTAATTAAGCGAATTAATCAACATCAGCGTGTGATGAGCGGCAGGCAGGTTGGCAGTGACAAAGTGAATTAAGAGTGTTTGGTTGGGTTTGAGCGAGCCGGAAGCTTGTTGGGTTGTATTGACCCCGGCGAAAAGCCTACATTACATTCAATAGACGTAAATAACCACCAGCGCCCAGTGATAACGCTAAAACATACGAGAAAGTTAAGCTGATAAGTGATAGTGCTGCCACATACATAATGGTGGTGATAATGCAATCGCTAATAGTATTGTCTGTGATAAAGCCCACATGGTGATACGGTGAGTTACTGTTAGAGGGAATGCGTATGCAGGTCAGACTGTCCGGTTCAGATCCTCATTGTTGTTCAAGCTTTCAAAAGGCAAAATCGGTCTTATCTAATCAACCAGTCCTACCCCTAAGACAGAAGCAAAACCTCGTCAAAAAAGGAGGATTTGTGTTGAAGATTAAATAGAACACAAACCATTTCAACAACAGCAAAGTTGTGGATAACAAATAATCCAAATGGGTGATTCCATCGGGATGCAACAGCAAGTTTTCCAAGACTTTTTCGTCCAATTGTGGCCATGAAAAGGTCGCAATTCACAGCAACTGGACAGTAGCTTCAGTTTGAAGAAATTTGGCCCACTTAAAAACCACACCAAACAGTAACTTTTGCTGGATGCAAAGGCTTTTCATGAATATCTTGTTGGAATCTACTTGGAGATCCATTTGCCTCTAATGGGTTAGTTGAGCTTGAAAAAAAATATATCTAGAAAAAGCAATTAAGTACCAGAAATTTATGCAGTCGATAGAAGACAAACGAGTTAAAAAATGCCCAAAATTTCATTTAAATCACATTTAATCCTAATTTTTGCCTACTTGGGAAATGCTGACCTAAAACAGGGCGGTTTTGACTCAAATGCAACTTCTGGTTGAAAAATGCGTAACTTCTAATCTGGAGTAAATTGCAACTTGAAACTTTCACAGTCTATACAACATGGTTCAGTCTAAAAGTGCAGAAAATTCA